GCGCTCCCCACACCTACCTCATGGGATATTGATACCAGGATTGAGAACTCTATTCCTGAAAATGGATCATTCAGATATCCTTGGTATCTTGTTTATAGAATGCCTCCCCCCCCATAAAGCTCCGATTAGCATCAGTATTTTTGCTCCTGTGCCAGTTAAAAAGCTGGAGATTGTCCAGGCTTTTAGGCCTTGGTGACCATCAGATGGTCTGTATTTTGCTTGCAGGAGTATCTGCAGGGGGGTCCAAAAAGTCAAGATGGCATAGTTGTGGCTGCCATCTTGACTTTTTGGACTCCTTCCCTGCAGACATCCTTGCTTGCTGGTTTGTTTTTTACCTAGTTGGATTGATGTATTGTCTACCCTTTTATTGCTGGGAAGTTTCATTCCCCCCGCCCCTTGACTCTTCTGCACTTCTCAACGAATCTAGATGTAAAAGAGGTACAAGCAGCTGGCAAGATCTGTTCTCCCTAAATGGGAACCATAGAAGCTATGCAAGTGTGCTTTCCTTTTTTGTATGTGTTCTTGTTTCCTGTATGTACTCATTCTCAAAAGTTTTACAATTTTTGGTGTGATAAGGATGAAACTGGTTATGTAGTGCCTCCTAATGGTCAGTGGTAAATATGACATCTAAATGGGAATCATCCAGGATTGTTGAAAGCCCCTCTTTCTCACAAGGACTGTTATTCTGTAGATAGCACTGAATCGGAGAAGGGCCCTGCTTTGCTACAAAAACCAGAAAAGAACCAACAGGCCAACCATGCTGCATCTGAGCATGGGGCCACCCAAAGTACCTACTTATGGACCATGGAAAGCGGAGGTAGGACCTCAGCCCCCTGCCCAGACACACTGCAGAGAAAGAAGAGCAGTTTGTGACTGCAGGTAGGCCTTCCTTGTGGCAGGCAGATATTTTAGGCTCTCAAGAACCTTTCATTATTTTATTTACTGCTCCAAGCATGCTTGTCATTCTTCAGCAGCTCACAAAAGTGTCAGGGCATGCCGTTTAGAAATTATAGGAAGAAACTTTGCAACAGAATATTATTACCGAGCCAAAGGCTTCGGTTACACAGAGAGCTCACAGCTGCGGTAATGGCTCGAGGTGCCAACTCTGCTCCACCCATGAGCCAAAGTTGCATTCAGATATATTTTGAGGCAAAGAAGAATAATAACCTGCAATTAAGTTCAGGCTGATCACAGCTTCGATAGGGTGAGCCAAATGGGAGGAACCCAGCTCAGGGCCTAAGGCTGCTGCAGAATTCCTG